CTTTTGTTCCTCGTGGTCCCTGTGTGTGTTGTAGAGTAGTCACCGCTCCAAGCTCGCTTCATTACCTCACAGGTGATTAGGACAGGACTGCAGCCAGCAACAGAGGCCACCTAACATTTACACAGGCTGCCGAATGTTAAATGCAAGCAGTGTAAGTAGCTGAATTTGACCTGATATCAGCTCGCTCCTGGGATGGACTACAGTCATGTTTAGTTTACTCCTTTGTATTGAGATTGTAGTCCATCCCGGGAGCGAGCTTGGAGCGGTGACTACTTTACAACAAACACAGGCCACCATGGGGAACAAAAGTAGCCCCCTCCAGAAGGAAGGACAGTGTCAGCACCAATTCAGAGATGATTGGAGGATCTACAGCCGAGTGATACACTAATAAGATACATTGTTGTCAATAGTTCAGATACTTGAATGGAATTTCAAGATTTAACTCCGGAGTTTCCGTCAACAAGACCATTGAATGGTGGACGCAAACTGGCAAGCAATAGCTAGTGTGCAAAACAATATCCTTTTAAAATTGTACTGACTCATAAAATCAGCATTTAATTTGGCTAAAATCCATTTAAAGGGATACTAAACAAAGATCAGATACATAAGCTGCATGGTAGGCTTCCTCCAATGGTTCAATGTGCCTGACCACTGCTCTGACCTGCTGCTGAAGCTCCATAAAGATGCTACACCTGAAGGGCATTGCCATTCGGTCAAGGATGCCCCCCTCCTGCCCCAATGGGACAGCGTTTTTGCCTGGCAACAGGTCCCTGAAGCTTTGAGCATTGGTCTTGGCTTTTCAGTGGACTACTGCAGTGGATAGTGTCCACACAAACTAGGCTGATGCCTCGGCACTGGAGGGTGGCCTCTATGCCTCCATGGGGAGATTTTGAATGCGACACCATGAAAGGCTTGCTTTGAACTCACAGCAGTTTTGAGTTAATTCAAATACTACACATAATAATTAAATTTAATTGGCTGCTAGGCATGAAAGCATATTTAGGGTGAAGGTGATGATTAATATTATTGGATTCCAGACTACACACCAGGTCTACTAGCTCCACCCTTTTAATATTAGGCAGACATGGTTATACCGAGACATGACGCACCCTACAACCCAAAAACTATCACATACATTTTCTTTCCATTCTACAAGCTTACACAATTACCATTGGTATGGACTGTAAGAATACCGGATACAACTGCGGTTACTCTAGCGCCAAAAAGTAGTAAAAAATAAATTATATATCTATATAGATATATATATTTTAATTAATATATATGAAGCTTTTTAAATTAGTTTAAACTGAACACTCCAATTAAACCTTTATTTTTTGAGAACTAGAATATTAAATTTAATAACTATAAAAAAATCTATTTTATTACTGCTATTCCTTTACCCAAGTTTGATAGACATGTATGTGCTCATTTAATTTTTAGGATAAAC